AGACTCGCTTGAGCCCAGGAGTTGGAGGTTGCTGTGAGCTGTAATGCCACGGCACTCTACCCAGGGGGACAGCTTGAGGCTCTGTCTCAAAAAAATAAATAAATAAAAATAAATAAAAATAGCTGAGCACTGTGGCAGGCGCCTGTAGTCCCAACTACTCTGGAGACTGAGGCAAGAGGATCACTTGAGCCCAAGAGTTTAAGGTTGCTGTGAGCTGTGACACCAAAGCACTCTACCACAGGTGACAAAATAAGACTCTGTCTCAAAAATAAAAAAAAGAAAATCAGCTGGGCATGCTGGCACTCAGGAACCTCAGGCAGCAAGATCAATTGAGCCCTGGAGTCTGAGGTTGCAGTGAACTATGAATATGACAGTACACTCTAGCCCAGGGGACCAGAGTAACACTGGCTCAAAATTTTAAAAAAATAATAAATATTCCTGGGTAGGAAACTCTAAAGTGGGGCTGGCCAGTTTTAGACGGGCCCAGGCCCACCAAACAACAGTGACAACTACAACAACAAAAATAGCCAGGCATTATGGCAGGTGCCTGTAGTCCCAGCTACTTGGGAGGCCCAGGCAAGAAAATCGCTTAATCCCAAGAGCTGGAGGTTGCTGTGAGCTGTGACATCAAAGCACCCTAAAAGCAACACAGTGAGACTCTGACTCTTTAAAAACAAACAAACAAACAAACGAACAAACAAAGACATCTACATTTTTTTTTAAGACAGAGTCTATGTCCCCCTGGGTAGAGTGCTGTGGCGTCACAGCTCACAGCAACCTCAAACTCTTGGGCTTTCCCCAAGTAGCTGGGACAACTGGAGCCAGCCACAGTGCCCGGCTATTTTTTGTTTTAGCAGGCTTGGGCAGGGTTTGAACCCACCAGTCTGGGTGGATGTGGCCACCGCCCTAACCACTGAGCTACGGGCGCCAAACTAAGACATCTAAATTACAACAAGATACCCTTTTTTGTTCGTTGTACTACCAGGCTAATAAAACTTAAAAATAACATTTAACAGGCTTGGTGCCAGCTACATGCATTGAGATTGGCGGGTTTGAACAGGCCAAGGCCAACTAAAAAAAAAAAAAAAACAACAACAACAACAATAACAACTCCAACAAAAAAATAGCCTATAGCCAGGCGTTGTGGCAGGCAGCTATAGTCCCAGCTACTTGGGAGGCTAAGGCAAGAGAATCACTTAAGCCCAAGAGTTTGAGGTTGCTGTGAGCTGTCTCCCAAAGGGGACATAGTGAGACTCTGTCTCAAAAAACAAACAAACATAACACTGAACAATGGTATAAAGAAATGGGCTTCTGGCTCGGTGCCTGTGGCTCAAGCAGCTAATGCACCAGCCACGTACACCTGAGCTAGCAGTTTCAAATCTAGCTCGGGCCAAAAATAGCTGGGCATTGTGGCGGGCACCTGTAATCCCAGCTACTTGGAAGGTGGAAGCAAGAGACTCACTTGAGCCCAGGGGTTAGAGGTTGCTGTGAGCTGTGATGCCA